TAAAGTCAGAAACTTTAGAGCTAAATAAACTGGATTCGAGTCCCAGATTTACCCTGTATGTGACTCTGGCCAAGCTGTGCCCCAGTGTCTCCCATCTTTAAAATGACAATGCTGATATCACCTGCTTCAGAGCATTGCAGTGAGGATGGACTACATGTATGCAAAATGCCTAGAACAGTGTCTGGCACAGAGTAAACATATCAAAGTACATGCTACCATTATGATGGAAGCATTTTCAAGGAAAAGGCTGGGTGCTGCACACTTTTCCCAGGTCCTCACCACTAGCTGCTTTGATGCATCCCACAACTGATTAATGGTGTGATAAGACAGTGAGGGAAAGGGCTGAAGGAGAATAGGAGAGGTGGGGGAGGGGAAGAGAGCCCATCTGCCTCAATAAAACTACCTGAAAGAAAGGTAGAGGCAGGAAAACCACAAGAAATAGACATAAGAATTCAAATAAATTTAAACGATATAGCAGTAGAGGGCTAGTCAGAGCTACAAACTCAAATAGCCCCTGAAGACATCTCAGTGTCATAATAATTAAGCTATTAACACTGTGTCACTGTTATTATAAATGGCCAGGGACAATGATAGTCACTGTGTGAGGTGTATCCTGTTCTGGTCACCTTGCTAGACACTTTTTTAAAAAAGATTTATTTATTTGAGAGGGAGAGCACATGAGCGGGAGGGGCAGAAGGAGAGGGAGAGAGAATCTTAAGCAGATGCCATGCAGAGCCTGACATGGGGCTAGATCTCATGACCCTGAGATCAAGACCTGAGCCCAATGCTTAACCGACTGGGCCACCAAGGTGCCCCAAACACTTTAAGTGCACTAGCACATAGTAGGCACACAATGATAATCATAGCAATGACCCTGAATCATAAAGATGGCTACATTATGTTAGTATACCCTTCTTTTTTTCCTAGAAGTGGGATAATATATCAATACAGAAATACATTTAAAAAGATTTTCTTCCAAAATCATTCTTTTTTAATTGAAAAAAAATTTTTTTAATTAAATTAGTAAGAGTAAGTTGGATCAGTTGTTTCACCAGCAATGCCCAATATTTTAGCATCACTGTACCTCAAATGACGTACAAAAGGAGAAAGTTGTGGTTGTGGTGTGGAGGGGGGGGAAGTGTGGTGGAGGGCATGGAGATAGGTTTTTTGTTTTCTTTTGTTTTTTGTTTTGGTTGAGTTTGTTTGCATGTTTCCTTTGGGTTGTAATTTCTGTGTGTGTGTGAGTGAGAGAGGGAGAGAGAGAGAGAGAGTGTGTGTGTGTGTGTGTGTTAAGAAAGTGAATGGAAAGACAAAGGTTACATCTGATTCCTAAGTTTATTTCATCAAACCAATAGGACCCATTTAGATTTATAATTGTAAAAATACAACATAACATCTAAACGTCCTAAATGAGAGTGTTTTTAAGAGGCTGAAAGATGAGATGTAACAGTAGAAAACTCTGTATCTCCATTAATGTGGAATATTGTTATGTATAATGAAGCCCTTTGGCAATGCGGACTCACCATTTTTTAAAATAATACCAGATGAGGGGGCCTACATCTTTGTTTTTCTTTGCTCCTTTTTTTAGGCCCCCCATGTCTCTATGTCCTTCTGTGAGCTCTATGTGGACCTTAGCAGGTGCTTCAGGTATTGGCATCCATATTGGCTTACATGTTGATCCCACCCCATCTGTGCATTTCTTTTGTATCTTTCTTGGTGCCTTAGTCTCTGAATTAGTCACTTTACTGTTCAATGTTTCTATTTTTTCCTTAAATTTTCTATTAACATTTCTCCACATATACCTTTTCTAACTCCTACTCTCCCTTGGGTATATTATAGAATTTAATTATATTCTTCATTGTGTCTTGTACTTTTTATAAGAGCATATATTCATGCATTTATATTAAATATAGGCAAAACCTTTCTTTTAAAAATATTTCTTATTTGAAGAGAAAAATATTTTAAAAACTATTATGGTGAATACTCCAAATTCACCATAAACATATTTGTACTTCACCAAATTCTCATGTAGACAAAAATTTACAGCAATAAAATACAAGTCCATTACTTCTTACATGCCCTGTAGACTCTCTCTGCACAAAATTAAGAAATATTAATAATAACCAATTCAAATAAAATATATTATAGTTAGAGAGACTATTAAGTGTCCTCATCTATAGCTAAGCAACATGACAATGTCCCATCAACCAGGGGAAAAAATACTTCTTAGAACACCTAATGTGAAGGCCATGTTTAGAAAATCATGCAGTGAAATGAAATTGGTTCATAGTCTACCACTATCGTCTTATTGTATTTCTTTCCTATCAGTCAATCTCTGTCAACAGTTGTAAGCTTTTAGGATATGAAATTAAATTAAGTATATCTTTTTAGATTACTAAAATAAGAGTTAAAGGCATATATTTTGTTTGACATAGATTTTTAAATTAAAACAGAAATATTACATTTCCTTTGATTTGAATATTAGGAAATTATCAAAATTGACACTTCCAGTAAAGCCAGAGGGTATGGAGAATAGAAATACCAGCCTTAATTTTATTCCTTAAATGTAAAAAAAAGAAAAGAAAAGAAAAGAAAACACTTGAGATTTATTTGACAGAGCGAGAGCAAGCATGAGCAGGGGGAACGGGTGGGGCAGTGGGAGAGGGAGACGCAGACTCCCCGCTGAGCAGGGAGCCTGATGCAGGGCTTGATCCCAGGACCCTGAGATCATGACCTGAGCCAAAGGCAGATGCTTAAGGACTGAGCCACCCAGGCGCCCTGCCACTATGATTTTTTAGCATTTTCTTCTGGACTCAAAAGTAAGTAACATTAAATTATTCTTTGCACTATCTGTATTTTTCTTCCTTTCCCTTTATAAAGTAAAACATTGAAGTTAATGTAACTCAAGACATGCCCTTTCTCTGAAGAGTTGATACATGGTTAATAGCACACAGGAAGGAATTCAATCCTCAGATCCCTAAAAGCTATAAAGAGCCTGGATCACTTTTCCATCTATAAGCTTTGTTTTAGAAGCACACAAAGCTCATTTTGGACTCGAATGGAGAAGTCTGTGACATATAGCACATAGACAAATTCTAACAGATGGATTTTTCTTGAAATAACTTCATTAGTTAATCATTTCTTTTACATATACTTTTTCTAGCTAATTGGTATAGCTGCCAGCTGGAGCTGTTCAGGATCCTCCAAAGAAACTGGTAGGTGGGGAGAAAATCCAATAATTTCACCAAATCTAGGATGAAACGCCCATTAATTTCACACTAACCATTACATAGTTTGAAAGTAAAATCTTACTCTTTCATTTTGTTTCTCCAATTTATTCCAAACACCTTAATTGATTTGTGCTTAAACCAAATCACTCATCCAGAAGAAACTTGAAACTTTAATAAATTATTTAGGTCAGGGTTCACCGAACTTGCCAAAATGGACATTGTAGATCAGATCATCTTTTTTGTCAGCTTTGTCCTGTACCCACTCAATGTCAGTAGTACCCTCAGTTGTGACAACTAAAAATGTCTCCAGACATTGCCAAAACTCCCTGCGGGCCAAACTGCCCTGGCTGAGGACCGTTATTTTAGAACCAGGTTGTTCCTAAGTTTTAATTCAATTTTTAAAGAATAGTTTAATGTATTCATGTATGCATGTATTTAATTTCAGACATGTCTAATAGATTAGAATTTTTTGCCTTTCAATCAGGTAAATGAAATGTTTGGGGCAAGGATTATTTAAGCAGTAATACTTTCATAAATCTCTCTGGGTAAATAAGCAAAAAAGTCAGGATGTGTGGCTTCTAACACGAATGAATATTAATTATCTAAGAAGCACCATCACCTTTGGGGCACCTGGGTGGCTCAGTCAGTTGAGCATCCGACTCTTGGTTTTTGGCTCAGGTCATGATCAGGGTCCAGAGATTGAGGGCCCCCCCACCCACTCCATGCTTAGCGGGGAGTCTGCTTGAATGATTCGCTCCCTCTGCCCCTCCCCCCACTCTCTCTCTCTCTCAAATAAATAAGTAAATCTTAAAAAAAAAGTGCCATCACCATCTTCATCATCACAAGTATTAATTTTATTTTTTTTCCTTTAAGGAAGGAACTCAATGGATAAGTAAAATCCTGTGTGGCTAAGTAAAATCCTTGGGGTAATCTGAGAGGAAAATTATTAATTACCAGTTTGGGTGCCTAAGACATTTTTAAGTAAGGGAAAGCAGTGTCATTTAATGCAATGGACACTGAGAAAACTGGGATCTGTTTTGACTTGACTGTATATGTATGGAGTGATTTGGGATTCACAAGAAGATTTAGTCATTCAGATAGAGACATTTCCTGGTCTTCAAAGTTCAGTGGTAAATATAATGTGCACCACCTATTTATCACTTAGTGATTTTTTTTCTGTAATTTATTCATCAGTGGATCTAGGAATAAGATGCTAATTACCGTAGGTGTTAAAAGGGAAGCAAGGAGCCTTTTCTAGTTTAGGTTGAATGTGAGAACATAATAACCCCATGAAGTATACAGGGAGAATCATTTGCCATGTTAAAAAAATACTAAATTCTATCCAAATTTCTATCTTCCCAGCAAAAGATTTGTAATCCAGATTTGCTCAAGCAGGTTTTTAAAATAAGATAAAGATGGATGTTAATATTTATCATTATGTTTAAATATATACTTTGTCTCAAAAAATCAAGTTATTTACCTAAAAATTCCACAGTGATCTGTTTACTTTATTAGACTTTCTAGAGCCACTGTAACAATTTACTGTTTGAAAAGTCATTCTTCCTTTCAATAGCATATGTTACACTATGCCAATTGCCACTTAGTTCTTTCAGAATGCACTATCCTTCAGCATGGCAAAGTGAAACAACCCACTTTGATATTTCAACTCAAAGAACTAAAGGCCCTGCACTCCGTGCTTCCTCTGCACACCCCAGGCTTCGCTTTATTTTTAAGTTGGAAACCTGTCTCCCAGAGACTCTGTACACTTACTCTCTGCGGAGTCTTTAGAACGGCGGCCGCTGGACGACTTCCTCAGCAGGCTTCGTCCAGAGGTAAAGAGGCTGGTTAGTTCTTCCAAGGGACTCGTGGGGGTCCTGGACCGGGAGGCACCGGGAGCCGGGCCGTAGGTGTTCACCGAGGCGTTGGCCATCTTGGCCCCATCCTGCGACACCGGCCTGCCGGTCGAATGAGGAGGCACTGATGGAGAGCTCCTGGAGAGGCTGCCTGAATGCACGGCGTCGTAGGGCGGGGGCCGCTTGAGGCTGAGCGGGGTCAGGGACCTCCCCATGCTGACGGGCGAAGGGGAGGCCGAGTGGCTCTTCGGGTAGCCGTGGGGGGACTGCGTGCGGTACAGGGTGGACGGCGGGGGCGGGGGCGGGGACGAGGACAGTGCGGGGGCGGAGGCGGCGGGGCTGGGGCCCAGGGCTGCGACCTGCTCTTTGTCCAGCTTGGGGTGGCCGGAGGCATGAGAGGGCAGTGAGGACGGAGACGCGCCGGCCTGCTGCTTCATGTAAGACACGTTTTCCAACACGGGCAGCTTGGTGACTTCCAGTGGGGTGAGCGGAGACTCGTCGGAATTGGGGGAGCATTGCACGGGCGCGGGGGGGAACACCAGCAGCGGGGGTCGGTGAGAAAGCAGGTTGGGGAAGGGCGGGGGGATGTCACAAAGCACACCCTTTGGAGTACATGGCACTGAGGACTTGGTGAAGTCCGAGTCAGGCACCGTGGGAGTAGCACACTGCGGAGAGCAACTGTGATGGTCAAGGTCACATTTCGAATCTTGGCCCAAGTCGTCAAAGATGGGGTATTTCATCTCCTCGTAGACGGCCTCGCTCTGGTCATCATCCTCCTTCCTGAAGTCTCTGAGAATGTTGCCCACCATCTCGATGTACACGGGCTCCTCCTCCTCTGGATCCCCCGCCGGGCTGCTGACCAGGGACAGAGAGGGGTCCCGTGGGAGCGACGTCCTCCGCGGCCCGTGCTTCTTGATGTACGTTTCATCGAAAGATGTGCTCAGCTGAGTGTTCGGGTTCCGTTTGGGTTTGGGAGGAGGGATCTTCTTTGAATATTCATCACTGTGGGGTCTGGGTTTGGCTGACACTACAAAAGAGAAAAGGGAAAAACAGAAAAGTAAAATAGATGAGTACAATAGGAAAGCCTTCAAACAGGACTTGCAGCACTTGGGTTTAGTGCTATGAACTTTTGATTCTACGGGGGAGGGGGAGGGGGTGGAATTTGCTTCTTTTCTAGTTTGAGGCTTGACAAAAAATCTAACAAAAGTCAAACTCTTTCCATATGTAGGAAAACCTGATGACAGAACAATAGTAATATTTTTCTGCAAGCTAATATTAATAATCTGACACTGATAAATGCATTAACCAGTACTATTCGTCCCTCTGCCTTAGAATTTCTAAATAGAAGCCTTCAGATGAAACATGTTCCGTAAAAACAATCATATATTTATAAAGATTAACCTCCAAGAATTAAGTGAGAAACTCAGGGGGAAAAAGTCAAGTTTCTGTTAACACAAATGGTCACAAAAATACCATGGGATTTGAACCCTTTTGATGATGTGGGTATTGCACATGATCATATCTTGCTTTCATTTAGGTTAAAAACGTCCGAGCCTGCTAGACTTAATCTCTGCCTTGGTTCAGATAAATAACTTCTATACAGATGAGTCTGATATTTCAGGGGAAATTGATGTGAAAATCTTATGAGGCTAGACAAGTTAATCTCTAAATCTCCAGGTATTGTTGATTATGGTGTATTTGTCTGTTTTTGTTCATGAGATCTCTTATGATATCCCAAATGCTATCTTGGAATGAATTTATTAGGTATGCTGCACTGACACATCAGAACCCCCTCAAGCATCTTATACAAGAAAATAATCCAGAGAATGTTGTATAAGCTTCAAGAATAACTTTTGGAAACTCACAACAGATCTATGTACTAGTGTGTTCAACAGCCTGCTGGAAGGAAGCACCCCTAGTAATGAAACATAAACTCTGACACCATATAGTAGGGTGGAACAGGCTGGCAAAGTGTCTGTGACTGAAGTCAATTATTTGGCATGCAGGGAAGGTACTGTTATCTTGTTATTATCTCATTATCTCATTGTGTGGATATATGATTAGAATGATTATCATTATTATGCAGTGTGGCAGAATGCAGTTACTTGTGGTAAATGGTAGCATATAATGTAAGGTGACAGTATAGCTTATTGGTGTAAAACTATTGAGAAAATAACAGGCTTCTCTATAATTTGCAGCCTTAAGGGAGGCAGGGTCTCAAGGCACAAATCAGGAAACACCTGAAGTCATCTTTGTTTTTTTCAATTAGCATACTATGACATGGGAGCTTTTCTAAAAGTTACTAAAGGAGAAGCAAGTGCTTAAAGATTAGTTAGTCTGCTGCTCTACACATCAGTCATGACTTCAGAGAAAGGAAACCCATCAAATATTCTAGAGAAGTGGCTATGTCACTCACTTTTCTAGGTCATTCCTGCTTTCAAATATTCTGTCCTGTTATGCCCATAATGATGTTTTTACTCACTACAATCAAATACTTTTTGAAGGGAACTTTCTTAATGCACCTAGACTTTTCCTTTAACTTGTATCAGGAAAAACTAGATGTTCCTTTCCGGGGGGTTATGGCAGTGGAGTCTTTTAGTGCCAAAAGTGAAAAGCCTAGAGACATAATGGGGCAAAAAATACCCAGACAATTCTTTAGGAGGGACCCAAAGTGACCGATAGCTCCTCTCTGTATCTCACACTGGTCTTAAATTTTGCTGGTTTTAAAATTTACTGTGTATGTTAATTTTCATGAATTACATAACTCATCAGATTTTATACAAAAATCAGAGTCTGATGTATAAAGTAAAATTATACATCACTGAATAAAGTTGACTTAGTACTGGGGGGACATTGAGTCAGGCCCTAGAAGAACAAAAGCCTATCCAGACTATTTTTCTAAAGCTTGTTTCCTGCCATCTTCCACCTTAGGGTCTCATTCTATGCTAAGTAACACACACATTGGGAAAATATTTGCCACTGATTATTGGGTTCTAGAGATTGAATGATGTGCGGTTAGGGGAATCCTTAAAAGAGAGAAGTCTGAATAGTGAGGTGCTCTGTGAATAGAGGGTTAACCTAAAGCTAGGAATTAGTGTGTCCATAAGATGATAACTTCATTTTATGGGAGTGGTCATACTTAGAATAGTATTACCATTTTTATCCTTTCTAAATTATAATGCAGTTTTGTTTTCTTTGACCCTTCACTAAAGTCTGATGCCCCCACCTAGACTTGGGTAGTTGTATGGAGAGAAATAACAGGACAGGCAGAATTCAAGCATCTGAGTCCAAGCCTAGGTAGGAGGACTGAACTGAAGGAAGACCAGAACCCAGGATTCCCAGGCAGTGAGGGGTCAATGGTAGAGCTGGTTGTGATACTCATGGAAGCAGTAGCCTCGTGAACAACTTTGGAACCCAATGTCCCTCTTCCCACATAGATTAGAAGGTGGCCTTTGGAATGGGCAAGACTAATGCTTGGGTTGCACTCAAAATGTGAGCAAATGGCACTCATTCCGTTTGCCAAAAGGAACAGAAAAAATTAAATAAAGATACTTCAGTCTGTGAAATGACTGAAGAAAGAAAGGGTTCTATTCTAGAACACAACACAGAATTAAGTAGAGCAACTATTCATAAGGAAGGAATACAGACATTCCATTTGTATTGTGAGGACAACTTCAATGCCAAACCAAGCACAGATATTGTCTGACAAGGGGAAGAAAATATAATCTGTGACTCTTATGGTGACCCTTAATCAATAAAAATTCACCATTGCTATGGACTGAACTGCATTCCTCCCACATTGATATGTTGAAACACTAACCAACAATGTGATATTTGGAGATGGTGCCTTTGGGAGATAATTAGGTTCGGATGAGGTCATGAGGTCGTAGTGGGTGGGATTAGGACCATCATGTGAGGATACAGTGAGCAGGCAGATGTCTACAAGCCAGAAAGAGAATTCTCACCAGAAACCAACTATGCAAAAACCAACTGTGCTAGCACCTTGATCTTGGACTTCTGGCCTCAAGAACTGAGAGGAAATAAATGTCTGTTGTCTAAGCCACCCAGTCTATGGCATTTTGTTATGAAAGCCTAAACTGACTTAGATAACAGTGTATTTATTGAGCCCTGCATAAAGATATCATACAGCTGAATGATAAGCACCCACTTTAATTCCATCCTCTGGCATTCAAATACTTGAAATAGCTTTGCTATTTTAAAAATTAATACAGCTCTTTCCCAGTCCTTTCAGTTTCAATTTTCACCTGCCCCTGCCCTATATCTCCTTATCCCCTGGAACCATGTCACAAAGAGCAATTACACCTAAATATAGAAATGCTCCTCCGAGGTACCAACCCAGGGACACCCTTCCACCCAACAGCCTGTAATTCTGGTTGTTCTCGGTCTGACTCTCTAATCTCTGATTTGTGCTTTTGATTCCGACCCATTTTCTGGATACTTTTTGTTGGTTGCTGCTGTTCCCTGTTCCACTTCGTTTGGCTTCCCACCAGCTAAAGCAGCTCCCCAGTCAGCCTTGCCCAAGTAATACTTCATCATCTGGGCAAGCTTATCCCCTCTCCCTTTCCCTGGGTGATGAAAAGAGCCCAATGCAGGCAAATTCATATAATACAAACACATTTTTTTCCTGGTCCTCTTTCTTTGTATTGATCCAAATTTGAAATGAGAGCATTGAAGATTATTTAGATAGTAAAGAGTTAAGTAAATTACAGATGATTGGGATGGATAAACAGATTAATTCCTTCAATATTGGGAGACTTTTTTTCCAGACAAAGCTGCTTCTCATTCCATATCCCCCTTGCAATTGAGTAAATAATTCATGGAGCAATAAAATTTTGTTTCAACTCTCATGTTTTTTTTTAAGTTTACCCATATAAGGCAGAGACTGAAATTTTAAACAACTTTGTCACGTAATTTATTCTACTTTAACCTCACTCTAGGGAATTAAAAATTAAGGAAAAAAATCCTGTTTAAACAGTCATTTCTTTAGAGAATACTTAAAAACAGTCTTGATCTATATACACAGACGCTGAAATACTGCTAATAAAAGACAATGAAAATTGCTTGCAAATTTCAACATTAAACCAAATTCAACCATCATAAAAAAGTGATTTTTATTGCTCTTGAATGAATTTTAAGTTATTTCTAATAAGCCCAAAGATAGAGGCAATAATTCCTGTTCAGCTCCAGAACACAAATTTTTATGCTTAAAATAGTATAATGACAGTAGCATTGAATAAGCAGAAAGTGACATTTTTGAAATGAAATATCTGAGCACAAAGGTTATGCATGGCTTTCAGTCATGCCCAGATGATCTGTCTTTCACAGTTAATTTTGGAAATTCACCATGTCCTTTGTCAACCTATCTTTCTGAAGTAATTTTTTCCTTATTAAAAAAAGTATAATGTAAAACCATCCTTTAGTATCTGTGGATGTTCTTGACCCAAGAAGTGTAAAGATGTGACACAGCACAGGTCATTATTTCCCTGTCTCTCTGGCCACAGAATCCAGAATTTGAAGGGCTCTTAGAAATTATCCAGCCCAGGAGCACCTAGATGGCTCAGTTGGTTAAGCATCCAACTCTTGATTTTGGCTCAGGTTTTGATCTCGGGGTCATGAGATCGAGCCCCATGTGGGGCTCCAAGCTGAGTGTGGAGCCTGCTTAAGATTCTTAAGATTCTTCTCTCTCTCCCTCTCCCCCTGCCCTCCCCTACAACATGCTCTCTCTCTCTCTCAAATAAATAAATAAATCTTTAAAAAAAAAAAGGAAAGAAATTATCCAGCCCAAACACTGTACTTAACTGATGAAGAAACATAAACTCCTCATCAACTACTTAAAAAAATGAAATCTTATCATTTCAATTCCATCTTTTATACCTTTTAAGACAAAGGAAAACAATAGAAGGGAAAGTTCTGCAATTTATTATTTTGCATATGGCATAGAGTACCATTTTAAAAGGTCTCCTCAGAAATAAAAAATTAAAAATAAAAGGTCCTCTCAGCCCATGC